TCCAAGAAAAGCAATTTCTCTTTTAAAAAATACAAGAAACGATGACTAGCCTTTTTAGAAATTCATTTACACGTTCGACATGTTTTTAAGCATTTTTAAATTGACAGCAACATTTCAAATATTGCAAGTAAAGCATGTCGTCCTAAACTACCCGGACTTAAGCATAATAGTAGCTACGCACGGACTCTCATCACACCGTGCCTACGTAGCCCCCATAAAAACTTTTCAATTTAGGGGTTCATGCTTTTATATAATATAGATATAGATTCCAATAGAATTCTTTCTAGAATAAAATAGAATTTGTATAAGGTTAAAAATTATAGGAAAATAGATAGTAGACATCAAAATCTTATATATTAGTTCATCAAACATATTAAATTCTTAATTAATTTTATTATTTATATAGTGCTTATTATTATTATTTTATATTGAACACATTTGAAGTTTTTGGTTAAGTAGTCTCCGAAGTCTATGTGCCTTTACTTCGTACCTATTCAGAAATTTTCTTTTTGTAATAGACTTCAAGGTTATAAGTATTAGGTAGCGTAACTAAGAAATATTGTAGTTGTATGCTTTACTTCGTCAAACAAGAAAATACTTTTTGCTAGGTGAAATTTTACAAGAAAAGACCCAAATGTCCCTTATGTATAAGGCCAGGTTTAAGTTAGTCCTTTATATGTTACCTTGGATAGCAATAGTCCTTTAAGTTTGCTGAAGTTGAACACCTTTGGTCTAAGGCTCACTAAAATCCTTTTTTTAACAGAAAAAGCGTAGTCAGTGACGGCAACTGTATTCCTTAACGGAAATTGTTAGGCCCAGTTAAAATGTTTCTTTTTGTTCTCCTAGGAAATAGACTTCACTTCCAAACCTTTTCACTGAAAGAGGATCAAGGATGTTGCATGTGATTGGATGAACTTAATAATTTAAGTAATGTGAAAGAAACTCCGTGGACGAAGTGACTGGTTTTATGGCTTATTCTTTTCAAATTGCTGTAAATTCATTTTATTGGCCAGTTTGTTTTTCTCGGATACAAAAATATTTTTTTGTTCATTATAATTATTTATCCTCCGCAATGAACAACTCAATTTGGGCATATTAAAAATGTCTTAGCTTTTTCTGTAGTGATAGAATTTAATTAATTTAACCTCTATGATTTTGCTGCTGAAGGATAGAAAAAGAAGTAGAGGAAAACAGGAACTTCTTAGCAGAGGAGGAAGGAAAGTCTTGATGCAGATATATGATATGATAGAGGGGGGCTGAAATCGCAAAGGAAGAAAACAGATGAAAAGTAGCAAAAAAGAGAAAGAGAATATTTTTTTACTTAATGGTGGAGAAGGCGATAGCGAAGGTTGGGTTGTGTGAAAATCTCATCTTGTTGTTAATATATTCTGTTACGAATGGAACTTTAACGTTAAATGAAAGCCTAACAAGGATTTTAGTGAGCCTTAGATCAAATGTGTCCAATTTCAGCAAACTTAAAGGATGATGGCTGTCCAGAGTAATATATAAAGGACTAATTTAAACCTGGCCTTATACATAAAGGACCATTGGGGTCTTTTCCTCTGAAATTTTAACTGATTTCAAGTTTTAAGTATTAGAAAACAGTGACTATTCCTAAATAACAGGAAATTGAAAAGGAAATTATTAATAAGCAAAGTATTAGTAGATTTAAAAGTCCTATATATATTAGGAAAATAATTAAATGGCTATACCTAAATAATAGAATTAATTGAATGATTATTCCTAAATATTAAGGATATAATTAAATGACTATTTTTTCTAATGTGAATTCTATTTTAATTGGGTAAAAAGAGGAACGACATTTCGCTAATGTCCTTCGTGCTTTTAATATAGTATAAATATATATAGTTTCATCATAATTATTACATACAGTTAACAGTACGTATGTTTTGATTGTTATTTTTTCATCGTTTCATAATGTAATGTTTTAAACTATATTGGATTGTATTGTTGAAATGTCTGAATAGCCTTACCCTTTTTTTTTTTTTCTTTTTTTTTTTCTTTTTGGTTATCATTTACAATTTTTTATTGAAAACTGGCAATTTTGTCCCTAAGACATTTGATTATCTAGCTAGAAAAAAAAAAAGGAATGAAGGTTACTTGAGATACTTCCTTTTCTGTTCATATTTTACTTAAGTTTCAGTAATTGACAGGTATAAATTAATCTAGGAAAAAGTTGTTGTTTTCACACGGGAAAGAAGACAAGTATAAGGTGACTGGAATCTAATCAAATTGGATATCTGTTAATTCCATCAAATTTAATTTTTTAATTAAGCCCACTATAGGTTTGTCAATTTTACTGACTCAGAAAGAAAGAGATGAGCTTGAATGTGACGTTTGATGCTTCTATTATGCACAAATTCCTTTCCTTTTTAGCTACAAACTAAAGTTGTTAAATGTTTTAGTCCTAACATCCTTGCACTGCTACAAGAATTTGATCATTCTGCAGCATATATATATATATATATATTACTTGAGAGAAAAAAAAGAAAACCATATTGTCCTTGTGATGAATCTGATATGTCAGTTGAGTTAAATAGGTTCGAATTTTCATAATTTGAATTTAACATTTTGAGCTTCTCTGAGTGAATTTGTTCATCAAAATAGTAGCTTTATAATTTTGGTTCAGACACTCTCAGGCTATATCTTCATTTCGGCAGACCTGAAGTGACTTGAGTTTCTCTCTTTTGTTTGCTTGTGTATCAAGAAAGGAATTCAGAGAAGAAAAAGGATAGGAATTATTGGAAATGGAGGGAAAAGGATATTCAGATTTCAGTAGAAATACAAGCGAAGAATTGTTCATAAGAAATATGATGGAGAACTCAGTAGGACTGCCTGCGCCTACAATGGAGATGTTGGGTTTTAGAAACATCTCTCATTCCTTTCGAACTGATAGTGAGGAACTCTTCAAAAGCTGGCTCACCAGTGCAGAGGCAAGCAATTGTGCCATTCTTTTATGTTACATTCTCAAATCTGCTACTATATTGTTAAGAATACCTATTGATTTGCATATAAATGAATTCCATTCTTCTTCATGCCTATTAACTTCTTGCATCATGTTATCAATCATCTCTTGAACTCTGTGTATCCTTATTTCTTCATACGGACTCGCAACCAAAGTAGAAAAAGAAAGATCCAGTGAAGAAGTTATGTCATAAACTTCAATTTTGCTCTATATCGATCCTTGTGAACTTATAGACGAGTTGTTAAAAGTGTTTAGGTATCCCATTTGATGTGTTGATCAAATGCCAAGTTCAAAACAAAGCTGCTGGTTGATGGATATGCATTCTTCAGTCAAAGTAAATGCTTCTCCTACATTATATCACATTCCACATAATTTTAAGCAGTCATTGAAGAAAGAGATAACTTAGAGAGTTTTGAAGTAGAGGCATGTATTCTTGGCTTCTTTTTCATGGATTCATATTGCCAAGGAAGAGACAGCCACAGAGACATCTTTAGATGCATAACTGTCATTGTATCTCTAATTTTCTTGCTCTACTATTGTTGGTTAAACACTATATATAGTTAAAAGAGTTAGGGACTAGTCCTTGGGTGCCCTGATTTAGAGGTTAAAGACATGTATATCGCTTTTACATTTGCCTGCTTGCTCTTTTGTAAATCGGCTGATTCACTCCCGTTTGCTTCTCAGAATAATGGCAGTGATTCTACAACAATGGCTCACCGAGCTCGACAAGGATCACGGAGGTTAGTGTGTTTGGAATGATTCGTTACAGGTGCCAAGTAGCATAACCTTGTAATGCAATGTACAGGGAGGGTGCCAAATATGTAATTTAACATTATTTCTGTCTCTTCCTCTTTTTGAGTGTAATATAGTTATGTATTATTAGTAGGTTCAGCTCATCTCCTCTTGTTATGCAGAGGAAGTTGAATTCTCACTATAGCTATGATTTATTTTTCACTTATCACTCTAACTTGCAAGTCCAATTCGACGTGGAAGTGGATATGATAACCTATGCCATTGAAAAGTTACATTATTTTTTCAGCTTTTATGGCTATTTTAAATTTTGAAGATTTCAGAAGTGGTTACATTCTTTAGTTTTAAAATGCAGGATCTCCAGTGAACTCGCTGGTCTATCAAATCAGCAGTATGCGGGAATTCAGAAAAGAAAAGTGATTGACTCTCTGCAGCCACAAAATGCATCTACCAGCCTTAACCAACATTTAAGCAGGTGATCTACCTTTTCCTCCTGTAGGGCTGTATGTTTTATTTACGATCTGTGTTAGTAATGCCAAATTAAAATCCAAAATAGAAAAAGAAGTCCATTTTCTGGGGCTATTGCAATGTGTTCCATTTATTGCTGCCTTAGGCTTACTCATTTGGTTTTCAACTTCCCATTATTTGTGGGTTATCCGGCTTGAGGCTATTGCTCAACCAATCTAGATATTTCATGTTATTATTGATTCTGATTTGGGGGTAATAACCAATTTTGGTTTGTCATCAGGAATATCACAGATACGGAAATGCAAGCCAGTAATCTCTTTTTAGCCAAGGTTTGTTCAATAATTGCAGATATCAATTTACAGAATTTCTCTTATGATCCTCATACAGAGCTTTCTTGCAGACTTGGTTTCATAGTTCTCAGCCCATGACGAGGAGTCGCTCCTCTGAGTTAAGGTATCCTTCATATTGCATCCTTTATGGCGGTATTGCTTGCTCTTCTCTAAGGAGCACTAGACATCCTTGGAATTAGGCCCTCAAGAATTTTATATTTTCCTATGTAGATTGAGTTTAGGGCTTTCTTGATTTTTGGGAAATTAATTACAAGCTCTAGCCAACATATACAAACCATATACATGTGCCGGCTATTATTTTGGAGGCCGGCCTAATAAAAGTAATTTTCCCTTGAGTTTATATCTAATTTGAAACGAAGACTTCCAAGTACAAGAAATCACTAAAAAGAATCTTTTTCCCCATCAATGTATTCCATATTGTTATTGCTGGATGCTAATCTATTTGGTTGTTGCATGAAATTTCTGTAGGAGGAGGTATGCAGCCATGCAAAACTCACAGTCTTCTCTAGCTCGTGAATCCCTGCATAATATACCTGGAAATACTGTTAACTTTAAAGAAGTTTCTGATCTCACTTACATGTCAATGTGTGAAATTACCAATCAACCCAATACTTTTATATCTCCATCAAATTCATCCTCATCTACTTTTGAAACTCAGCAAGTGGATGGTGCAGATAATATTTCATCTGTCGTAAGCATGCTAAAGGTTACTTTAGAGCGGAAGAAATTAACAAACTATCACACTGCTAGGGAAGGCATTGAGGAGAATATGCTAGGGTGTTATGGTAATCAAGACATTGAGGAGAATATGCTAGGGTGTTATGGTAATCAAGACAACTCTGGCATGAATCAACATCCAGGGAATCATATTTCTGAAAATCATCAGGATGCATCCATTGTTCAAGTCAGAGATACAGGGATTCTTCAAACAGTTCAGGGGTCATTAGATGTCGTCTTAGAAGGTATTATGGCTCCCTCAAACCCAATCCAGATGTGTGTGGTGTCACAGGAACCTTCCCAAAGTGAATCCTCTGTTGCTGCGCCAATAATTTCAACCAGTTTTGATGCATGTGATGGTCTAAGCAATGCAAGTCAAGCTTTAAATGTGTACGAGGGCTCTAGAAATCAAGTTGGATATGCAAGGAGCTCAGACAATGGTTCAACTGCCAGAGGTGAATATGACGTACATCAGCTGTCTGTATTGAATTATCTGTGCTCTTCTCTATTTGTATGGTGCGCGTCGTGCAAGCAAGGATGTTTTCAAACTGATAGATGATACTTATTTTTTCAAACTAAAAATAGATACATCTGAAACTCTGGATTTTGCATAGTGCACTTATTTAGATGGTTGTTTCTCCAAACTTTTTGAGCATAGGTTTGTTAATATATTCATTTACTGTTGAAGTGCAGATCTTAGGGAACGAATATATGATAACGTGAAGGACAACCAGAAGGTATTCTCTACTTCCTATGTCCTTGGGATTGGAAACAATATTACCCAATATTCAACTTAGAATAGTTAGATGGTTAGCTGATGATAATTTCTCCAATTTGTTCAGACACCGCAGAAAGAAGGTTTAGTTCGAAATGGATCTTTGACATCAGTTCAGTCAGGTAACTGAGGCATTTAGCTACAATGGATAAATATCACATCTTTGCATTTTCACTTTCATATCTACTTAAATTATAAATGTAACAATGTTGATCATGTTTTTTCAAACAACATGGTGGCATGCCGATTGCTTCCTATTGCATTCTTGCTGACTCTCTCTCTCTCTCCCTCTCCCTATCCCACCTGTTAGGTTCGTATTATGTATTCCTATCCTGAAATTACAAAGTAGTTTAGGTTAGATCACTTGTTAGGTGAAAGCAACAAAGCAAGGAGCACATCCGAAGAACTTACAGAATATATTTTACAGGTCGGCACTGCAATACTGCCAAAATTGGCTCATATTAATTGCATATTTTTAGAAAAGTTATTAAAGGAATCATGCAATCAAAGGAGTGAAACTGGAAAAATACAGTAAGAATAATTTTTTTAAATATTCTTGGTGCTAAAAGGCTTTAAGAGAGCTTACAAGTAAAATGTGATTTGCAACACTTGTAATGGTTGGCCAACTTATGGGCATATGATAAAATGTTTTAGGCACCAAAGGCACTTTCTCATGAGAGTTCTGTTCATCTTCAGAAGGTTTTCCTCTAATGGTCTTAGGGTTCTTTCTTGCTCTGGGATGTAAGGAATAAGATGTTTGTTATATCTTTTCTAACATTTTTAAAGATCGAAGAGTTCTAAGAGAGACAACAAAGTAAATATGAAAGGTCCATGCTTACCACGAGACAGAAACTGTCTTATTTAATGGAAAGATTGAGGTTTCAGTGTCAACTCAGACTCTTAATATCTTGAGTACCCCAACAGTGCTAGTAATCTATTTTCACTGCATTAGGGTAAGCTATCTACATCACACCTCTTGGGGTGCAGCCTTTCCCCGAACCTTGCTCCAAAGTTTTATTTCTGTAATTCTATTAGATAAAGAAAATTTATGGCTTAATCGTACGCAAATGCTATATTACATGTGATAGAATATATGAGTCCACCAAACTATATAGACCAGGTCCTACATAGGTTTACATAGATAAGGCTAATGCAACAGTAAGTAAATGGAACATGGAACTTTTACGTGGAAAAATCCCTGCTCAAGGGGTCAAAAAACCACGACCTACACTGGTAGGATTTCAACTTCACTATGAGCAATTTTTAGATTACAACCTATGCAACCTAGAAATTAAACTCTTAATCCCTCACTAACTTGTAATACACCTATTACAAGCCACTTTGCAATACACCTATTACAAAGACTTCAACTCATGACTAACTCTAGTCACGACACAAACACTAAAGGTTTATGGTTTACAAAGGGTTCCTAATTAAAGCTTCTAGATAAGCAAAGTAGGAATTACAATGAAGAACAATTACAAAGTTACAACTCAACTAAGGACATACAAGAGACTCGTTATATGAACTGGTCCGTAGTGGTGTTGTACTTTGTTATGCACTTGAGAATTGAATGCTTGATTGTTAGATGCTTAGGATGCTTGAATGAATTCTCAAATGTTTAAGTGATGTTTTGTTGTAATGTTTATTGCTAATACAACTTGGATGACATCACTTGAATGATGTAGTCACTTGGTTGGTACAAGGTCCTTCCCAATGAGTAGTGACTGCTGCACTGTTTGCGTGTTCAGTGCAGGCAGTCACTTTCCAGCTGTAGAAAGTTGACTTCGTACTGTTGTCGGGAAAACCCAAGGGGATCAGGTATCTGTGTTGATTTCTTATCTTCTGAAGTCATAGCAACTTACATAAGCTTGAATCCGTTGATTGAGTCGTGTACCAAGTGTATCAGGTTCCTTATCTGGTTCTTTGACAGTAAGTTTGTTAGATCATCAAAACATGAAGCTAAGGTACTATAAACCCATCAATTTCCCCCTTTTTGATGATGACAAACTTAAAAATCGACAATCATATTTAGAGCAACAAAAACCAGATAAAGTAACAGGAACTTCACAAGTTCCCCCTGATTTTGTGCTTCCCCGTGAATCAGTCCCTGCTTCTTCTTAACTCCTTTAATTTTATCTACTCTTCCCCCTTTTGGCTTCATTAAAAACACACAAACAAGAAAATAGCATAAAGAAGTCTAGCCCAGTTAACTCATGCCACTCGTGTGCACACAAACATGATAGAAAAGAGAAGCAGAAACACATAAGCATTTACAGCAAAAGAAGGAGAGTTTTCATTAAAAAGGAAAAACATAAGCATTTGCCTTTACAGCAAAAGCAGATTTGGATAGATTACACGGGAGCAGTACTAGTGATTTCCATCCACAAACCAAAACAAAACAAACACAAACACCACAATATCATCAAAACACTGTCAAGAGAGATAAACTGGACACTGGTCAATGAGAGATATGCCTAGGGGACACTAGAGGAAGAGGGCTTGGAAGAGGCAGCAAGTATGTTGAGAACTAGATCTATCCGAGCATTGGCGGACATTTGCTCAGCGAGCAGTTTCTTCCTCAGGTTCTCAACTTGTTGCCTGAGATCAACATTCTCCTTAGTCAGACGAGCAACCTCTGCATTTGAAGAACCGGAGGACCCTGGTGCCTCTTGGGCTTGACTAAGTTGAGTCTCTAATATGGCATTCCTTACTTTCAACTTTCTGATCTCGTCAGTAGCACTATTTTGAGCATTTATAAGCTGGGAGATCGTTGAAGTGCTTCCTACCCCTCCAATTTTGTCAATACACTCACATTCCTCTAGAGTAGTTTTAGAGATAGTCTGCTTCTTGGTCCCCATCTTAGGCTGTCCCAAAGGCACTTTAAAAAATTTGAAGACATGCGTGAGGAGAAATCCATAGGGGAGGCCATGATTTCCATCTTTGAATGCTGCCACTTTTTGCATATGTCAATCATTATGGCTGGCAGATTAACAGTTTCGAATTCATCCAGTTCTTCCATCAGATACAAATCAGCCTTAGATGTGATGGATCTCCTCTCAGCGCGAGGAAGCAGGACTTTGTTCACCAACTCAAAAAGCAGCTGATAAACACGAAACAAAGCTTTCTTATGCACCCGTTCCCCCCGGTGCACATCGCTCTCCTTAACTATAGCATGCCTAAAGTTTGAGCTACAGACATTTCTAACAGAAGACAGACCTTCAGCAGGAACTTTAAGTATGTTTCCTAACATAGTAGAGTCCATAACAATGTCTACGCCATTTACCAGTGCGCAGATGTGATCAAATTCAACGGTAAAGAGGTCTGCATAGAAACTTTGAACCTCTTCCTCATATACCTTGGGCACATCCACCTTGAATAGGTGTCCCCATTGTTGAAACTCAACCATCTCAAGCACTTGGCGCATTCTAGCCATCTCAAATATCTCAGGGTCAAAGTACGACCCCACAACACTTTCTGACACCTCAACCTTTCTTTACCAGATATACTTCCACTTCTTGCCTTCTTCACAGAACCGGGTTCTTTCACATCCTCCAATTTCCTTTTCACAGACTTTTCACTGGACTTAACTTTCCCACTAGACTTCACTTGCACATCCTTATCAGACACAAACTCTTCTACCACAACTTCCTTCAACTTGCCATTATCCTTTACTGACTTTTCACTGGGTGTTCCAACAACCTCTTTTGAAGTACTCTCAGTAGAGTGATTCTTTTTCTGAGACCTCTTGAACGAGGAACTTGGTTCCTCTGTGGCTTCCTCATCAACTTCCACAACTTCCTCATCAACTTCCACAACTGGGATATTCTTGTCACAAACAACTTCACCATTCTTCACGAGCCTTTTCTTCTTCTTCATGTTACTTCTCTTACTCTTCTTTAGCGCAGACTCAAGAGCCTCCTTATTCTGCAACCTTGTGGTAGGTCGCTTAGGAGGGGGCTCAGGAGTTGCTACTGGCCTCCTTGCGGTAATAACGCACTCAGAGCAACATCATCCTCATCTTCTTCATCACTGGACCTCATAACAGGAGCCACTACTTTCAAAGGCTCAGTATCAAAGTGAGAAGAAGGAGCAGGGTCGAAGCTGACCTGGGAAGATGATTCCTAACATGTTTCCAAGGAAAGGGGTCAGGTCCATCAAGAGGGGTCCCAGTAGCCTCTTCTGGTGCAGGCTCTTCAAAGAGCACCATTGTGCCGTCTCCCACCAAGGACTGAGTCTCTTCCCCTTGAGACTCAGGCAGTAGAATTTGCCTTCCCAATAATTCCTTCAGCAGCAATAGCCAACATATTTTCTATGGCATCCCTCTCTAGTGGTTCCATAGGAGCAACAACAGAAGAGATAGGAGTACCTGTCGACTGATCAGAGTTTTCTTCAGAACCCTTAGCACTTTCAGGACTAATCGATGAAGCTTTTTCTGCTGATGGAGACTTACTCTTTTCCTCTGGAACTGAAATGTCATCTTAACTCTATTCTTTGAGTGACTCAGGTAACAAGGGAGAGATGCTTTCATTCTTAGGGTTGTCTGAGTTCTCAACACTTAGAGGAGGAGTAGAGTCAGAGGGAGTAGAGAAAGGGATGAAGGGTGAAGGAGAAACTGGTTTAGGGTTTTCTATTTGAACAGTGGTGGAAGAAGGGATGACTGGTGTTGTTTCTACAGGAGAAGACTCGAGGTTTTTCTCTTCAGTGGTAGGAGGGATTGTTTGATCCTCAGCCATGGTAGAGGAATTTTGCTTGAAGGTTCTGGAGAGACTGAGGAAGACAGAGATGGTCGTTCAAGTTTTTGGGAGTAAGAGGGTTATAATGAGGTGAATGGAAATTATGAAGGAAAGAGAAACAGGTTCTGAAACGGCGGTAGATGTGTGGAAGATGCAACGTTTCAGAGGGAAGTGAATGGATTTGTACGAAAAGGCGTGACATATAGAGTCTGAAAAGGTCGATGACGTGGCATTATTTTTGATTTCTTTTGAGATATGTATGAGATAAGCAAAAGACTGTAGCTGTGGCACAAGAACCAGGTTCCTGACCAGTCTTTAACAAAATGCTCAACCTTCTTTTACCGCTCATGCATTGCCTCAGCAGCTTCTATAATCATTATGTGTGT